GGGGGGGGGATCACTAGGGCAAACTGGCCAGCAATAGTAGCCCTAGCATCAAGCTCTACGTTTGATTAAGTGGCCCTTCTTCAATGAGCAAGGTACAAAAGCCATCAAGGAAGTTCTTGACATTTACCTCGGACCTCCACGTGCATACTCATCACACATGTGCACATGCACCCTCACACAAGTGCCCACAGATATGCAAAATGTGTGCATACACACACACACACACACACACACAGAGACAGAGACAGAGACACAGAGAGAAATATAGGAAAATATGTACATAAATAAATACAAATTAGATCTGCTTCCAGAAACCCACAGAAAACTAGTAGGTGGTTTTAGACAGAGTGGCAGCCTTTGAGTGACATTCATTAAGACCCACTCTGGCTATTGGGAGGAGGGTGGATAGGGAAAGGCGTCTTCTCAACGCCCGATGCAGGGAAGCAAGGCCACACTTTGCCTTCGGAGGTCAAGGTGCTCATTTGCACACCCATCTGTGCCCTCCCCCATCTCTGAGTCGACACCACGCTTTATCCATCTTCACCGTAATACACGGAGGCTTTGTGGAGCCCGAGAAACCACCTCCTGGCATATGAGAACTTGGTTTACACTGTGGGGTTGGAATTGTCCCTGGGACAATGTCAGCACAGTCCATCAACAGACCAAAGCCAACCTGGAGTGATCATGCCAGAGAGAAAGATGTACGGAGGGCCACCTGTTGGCCATCCTCTAGAGGGGGGGGAAACCGATCCAACTGTTGCTCAGAGCTCCCAATGACATCCACCCATCCATCCAAGTCCCCACCAGAAGATCACCATCCCTGAGTTCGGCAGATGTTCAGAAAGCCCGCCACCATGGACACAGCTGCTCTGGCAGATGGGGAGGCATCCCTGCCAGAGCAGCCAGGGGCTGAAGTACCACAGTAACTCCTCTTTGCTGCTTCCTCCCATCCCAGTGCCCTATCCTCCCCACACTCATCTGGTTCTCAGCTCCACGGGCCATTTCTAAACGGCATGCGTTCTGCTCTGACTATGTCTTCAACAGATCATGGGGTGGTCCCCTCAGCCCTGAAAGCTTTACTGCACACCCAGAACCTATGAGTGTGAGTGCCATGCCCCGGCTCAATCCTCCCCTCCTTCTCACCCACCACCATCTGCCCCCACCGCTAACCCCGTAAAAGCCGCACCTTACCTTGTTGATTTTGTTGGTTTTGGGGAGCGTCTGGCTTATGTGCAGATCTGAGTATCGCGCTGGCTTCCGGACAGGGTTGTTGATGTCACAGGGGACTGACTCTGTTCGCACTAACCTTGCTGGGTCCGTAGGGGTAAAAACAGTGAAGAGAGAGAGTCTAAGTATCACATTGGCTTCGTCATGTCAGGAGAGCCCAGCGCACATCCCACTTTGAAACCGACCGGTGACGCCGGAAATGATAGCCATGCACCCCCATGACAAATGTTCTAGGTGGACCTCTGTGGTTTTTACACTCTTTGTATTATCTACATAGTGTGTGTGCTGTGGGGCGTTTACCCACCACCCCCACAGCTTCCCAGAGTTTTCTTGAGTGCGAGCAGCAGGAAATATTAGATAGAAGGATTTATAGCGGAGAATCTTGCGGAGATAAACAGAAAATAAAGGATAGCCTCGAGAGGGCCTGGAACCTATTCCAACGGGCCCCAACTGTCTCTGGTCCAGGGTTTTTATAGAGACGCCAAGGGGGTGAAGCAAAAGACCTCCTCCTCCAGCACAGCCAAGTGCAGGCCATCTCAGACACCTGCACTCAGGCCCGTGGTCCTGATCATCCTCTATTCGGACCTGCTGGGTAAAGCCACGAGGAACCCCAGAATGGGCTCCCACAGTGTGCGAGCGCGCACGCTCGCACACACACCCACATGCAAGGTGTACTGACGTATGTACTAGTCAATGTAGAGGTGTCTCATGGGTGTGAATACTGTGGCCAGAGATTGACAGCAGGTCTATCCTTGATCTCTCTCTCCCTTTTTTTTTTTTTTTTTTTTTTTTTGTGATTTTTTTTTTGTGATCGGGTCTGCCACTCAACCTGAAGCTCATAGCTTGGACTAGGCTAACTGGCCAATGAGCTTCAGGGATCAGCCTGCCTAGGCTCCCACCCCCAGCACTGGGGTTACAGGAGTGTCCTGCCATCCTGGCATTTTGACATGCCCTCTGGAGATCGAAACTCAGGTCCTCATATTTGCATGGCAGGGACAATTTATCAGTGGAGCCATCACCCCATCATCTATATATTTTTTTCCAGATGTTCCTTTTTTTTAATTATTTATTCCCTTACACATGGATTTTGACACTAGAAATAGGGGGCAGCCATCTTTTGTTCTGTTGTTTGGGTTTTTTTCCACACTGTCACTGTTGCACACTGCTTTTTCATAGTCATTGTGATCCCTGATTCCACGAGACCTGCAATTAGCATACGAGCCACGATGGACACCGGTCCCTACGCTTCTGACCATTGGTTAGGATATCTTTTGTTATGTATATAGGGTTTTTCGGGACTCAGAGTGTGTCCCAGATAACTACAGATCCCTGCAATAATGGCTCGGCTCCTTCAGCCTCTCCCCTGGGTATTACGGCCAGAGCCAAAGCTGGGTACACAAGCCAGTGAGGCTAAATAACTGCTTCCTCGTGGGGAAAGAGAACGCCATCCTCAAGTGCCTGTCCCCACTATTTCTGTCACTCACGGGGCACACAGTGTGCGATGCTAGGGAGCCACACAAGTTCAGATTTGCCGCCTACCACCTTTCCTTGTTTCTTGTGTTTTTGTTGGGGGGGCAGGGGGGCTGAGGAATTCAAGCTTAGCATTGACCCAGGGATTTAATTTCTCTGCTTAGCCTGAGCTGCCATTACCATGGAAACGGACTCTATTTTCAACTTCCCACCAACAGGGAGGTGGGGGAAGGCAAGAAGCCAGTGGACTTCTCCAGGGAAAGTTCTCTTTGATTTACTTGTAAGGCACGAGGCGCCCAGGGAGCAGTGGCCTTGAAGGCAGGTGGGAGGAAGGAGACCTTCTCCAAATACCAGACTCGGAGGGAGGCTCACCTGCCTGCAGTCTGGGTCTCACCTTTCTGGGGGAGTTAGCCTCCAGAGCACCCACTGTGGAGCAGGATTTGGTGGGAGGCCAGTTCCCCAGGGATGCTGACCTCAGACAGGAGCTGTGTGAACTCAGGCTTCAAAATAGCCATGGGAGGGGGTATTAAGGCTGTGGGGTGTGAAGAGGCAGGAGAAAAGAGAGCCAAGCGCTATGACTATCCTCCTCTCTTCCTGGAGACCCAAGGTGGGAAAAACATCAAAAGCCAACCGCCTGTGGCAGCTGTAGGCCTGCTTCAGGGAAAAACTCACTTCTTGCCTGAAGCGTCTCCTAGGTTCATTCTTAAACTGAGTAGATACTCCCAGGCCGAGTCTGAGCTCAGCGATGCCAGGGGGACATTTGGAAGGAAGGAGAAGGAAGGTTCAGCCCTGACTTAACAAGTCTCTATGATCTGTGGCAGGTCTGAGGCTCCATCCAACCTAAAGATGGGGACAGTGACTGGCAGCTGGTTAGGAAGTCACTAACACTCGGCAGAAAATCTAAGGCATATTGCTGTGGATATCGCCCCGTATAAATAAAATGCGGATTGACCAATAGCCAGGCAGGAAGTATAGACGGGACAAACAGAGAAGAGAATTCTGGGGAGTGGAAGGCTGAGGCAGAGAGACGCTGCCAGCCGCCATGATGAGAAGCAGATTTTAAGATACCGGTAAGCCACGAGCTTTACGTGGCAACTTATAGATTAATAGAGATGGGTTAATTTAAGCTATAAGAACAGTTAGCAAGAAGCCTGCCACTGCCATACAGTTTATAAGTAATAGAAGTCTCTGTGTGTTTACTCAGGGTTGGGTCTGAGCGGCTGTGGGACTGGCGGGTGAGAGAGATTTGTCCTGACTGTGGGCCAGGCAGGACCAGAAAAACTCTAGCTACAAACATAAGAACTATATAAGCTTCTGTGTGAAATGTCACAAATGCAGGTGACACACGTCTGCCTGCCCAGTTGCTGAGGTGCCCACCTTTCTGGACAGTACCTGCCTGGACCGTCCAATCAGCGCAACTTCTCTCATTCAGGATGTTTGCTTGACCCCCAACAGCGTGTGAGTTTGTCTAACTCTTGTTCATGAATAATGCTTTCAAGGGCAGGGGAACCGTTCCCAAGCAGATCCAATTCAAAAGGGCAGGTTCTGATTCAGCATTTCTGGGGGCGGGGCCAGGAAGTGTCCGTTTCACGCATGCATGGGCCACACTTAGACAGAACAGAGGAGCGCAGGCGCATTGCTTTGGGGAAGGAGACGATGTGTGTGACTACAGAGCTTTGTTGGGAGAGGGTGGCCTGCAACCAGGGAAGCCATGAGCAGGCCTTGAGTGAGCATCAAAGAGACAACGTAGTCGAGCCTGAAAGGGAAGGGCAGGCTTCCCCTGAAAACCCAGGGAGAAGCTTCATTTCTTTAATGACGTGACCCCTGGTGGATTGACCTCACATCAGGGCATCAATGCCAAGACTAGCTGGGGGACACAAACTACACTCAATGGGGAAGGAAGAAAAAAATCTCAAGGTTGCATGGGGAGGGATGGGAGGGCGGAGAGGGTAGTGATGGAAGAAGTTGAGGGAGATGAATGTGTTCAAAGTTCATTGTATGAGATTCACAAAGAATTGATAGAAAATATTGCAGAGAGAGAGAGAGAATGAGAGAGGGAGAGAGAGGACAAGAAAGCGAGCATGCTTGAGGGAAAAGAGACATAGGTGGCCGCCACAGACAAAATGACAGGCGGAGGGAACAGAGATGGAGCCTTCGGAGAAATTCCCAAAGAAAAATGTCTGACTTTTATTTCGGGGGTGCGGGGGCCAGGGGGGGGGAGGGCTAGTGACAAGAAAGTCCATATCATGCGATTTAGTCTCAGATAGCCTACATAACAAGGAGAATGGGGGAGTCAGGTACAGCCTAGGGCCATAAATTAGAGGTTGTGAAAAACACAACACGGATGCTTATTAATTATCTGTCCTCACAGAAAGGGAAGGGAAGGGTAGCTGGGAGCTCGCGGCCTGAGCTCTTCAGGCTGTACCATCTGGCCATTTACACGAACCAGCGCCTTAGGAATAGGCTTTTGATCGCCCAAGATGGAATGGCATCATCAGGAGAGGTCCCTGCCGTGATGAAATTGCCGTATCTCTGCATCACCATCCAGTGCAGCAGCCACGGGGGGCTCCTGAGCCCCGAGATGGCTGGTGAGACTGAGTAACAGAACTTGTGTTTTTAGTTTCTTCTCATTCATCTCAAGTTAAATAGTCAGATGTGGCTCACAGCTACTTATCCGACAGCACAGACTGAAGAGATTGCCCTGGGGATGGATCATGGGGGGGCTGGCAGTAATGAATCCACAGGACAAGAAATTAGGGAATTACTTTGCAAGCTGGGCTATAAGTCTTTATGAAGAGTTATTGTCTCCTACCAAGTCTGTGGCAGACAGGGCAACACTTTTCCTCCCAGCTGAATGGGTCTGGCTGTGTACTGTGAAAGGCTGCCAGCTTGGTCAAGTTGGCCCAGGCACTCCCAGAACCCCCAAAGAATGGGACACTGATGGCCTCAACAACTCTGCTCTAAGCCAGACAGTTGTGGAATGTTACCTTAACTATGTAAAGATGTGTTATGTTTGTTTATGTTGTGGATTATTACTTCAACAATGTAAAGATGTATTGCTTTGCCTGCCTAAGGTACCTGATTGGTAATAAAATGCTAAATGGCCAATAGCTAGGTAGTAGAGGGATAGGTGGGGCTGGAAGGCAGAGAGAATAGTAAGAGGAGGAATCTAGGTGAGAATGAGAGAAGGGAGAAGGGAGGAAGAGGAAGAGGGAGACACCCAGGCCATCCAAGCAGCCACCAGACAGACAGACACAGAGTAGAACATACAGAATGAAAGAAAAGTAAAAAGCCCCAAACATAGATGAAGAAAAAAAAAAAGCAAAACATAGATGAAGAGAAACAGGTTAAATTAAGTTATGAGAGCGAGCAAGAAATGAGCCTAAGCTAAGGCCAAGCCTTTATAACTAGTAATAAGTCTCCGTGTCATGATTTGGGAGCTGGTTGGTGACCCAAAAGACAGCCTGCTTGCACCAGACTCCTCCCCAAGGCCACTTGTGCAAGACCCACTGTATGAGCCTGGATCACACAACAGAAAAACCCCAGCTAGGACTCTTTTTTTGAGTGTGAAGGAAAAGCAATGGAGTGGAAAGAAGGGAGTGAAAATTAGGACAAAGAGACAAAGAGAGGATTGGGAGGCAGTAGGCACTAAAATAACCAGAAGGACCCGTGGAGTGACAGGAGTGTAGAATGGGGAAGGAACGCAGCAGGAAGGAAGTATTAGGAGGAAAGAAATTGGGTGGGCAAGGATCTGGGGATCGGGAGATATCTGGGATCATTCTGGGTGGGAGGGCTGCTTTGGATACAAGAGCTCTTGAGCCCGTTACAGGGTGACAAGTGTTAAATAATTACCTCCTCGATGGATGATCAGGAGATGACAGGGTGGGGCTTCTTTGGTGCATTTGTTATGGCACTTTAACCTGAAAGACAGAGAAAAAGAAAGCTGGATGGGTTAACTGAATGGTTGGATGGCTTGATGGACAGATGGCTGGCTGTCTTGGTGGATAGATAGATGATGTATGGATAGATGATGGATGGATAGATGATGGATGGATAGATGATGGATGGATAGATGATGGATGGATGGATGGATGGATGGATGGATGGATGGATGGATGGATGGATGGGTGGATGGATGGATGGATGATGGATGGATGGATGGGTGAAAGATGCCCCAGTGGTCCGGACAACTCCAGGCATTGAGGGCAGCAATGTGTGAAATGACTGGAGGCAGTGAATGAAAAAGCTAATCCTTAACAACCCAGAGGGATAACTCTGGAGAGAGGCTTCCAATGTGACTCTTCCAGTTCCACCCTGGGTGGTCCAAGAGTAAGTAATAATTGTTTTTAACAATATCTATGTTAACTTCATGCATGCTGAAATGTGCTTAGGATAATGGTCTATCATCATCATCATCATCATCATCATCATCATCATCATCATCATCATCAACACAACACTCCAATGTTAATCATCATTACCAAGTACTCAAAGACTCACTCACCCCTCACTATAGTAAACATTTTCCATACACTATTTCATTTGAGTCTTACAACTGTAAGAAATAGCTATTATAGTCATTCCCGCTTTCTTGGTGGGGAAACTGAGATGAACTGGCATGCTCTGGACAAACTCCCTAAGCCATTGTCCCCTAGGTAGTCTCTTGTCTATCCTAAAGCTAAAGCTCTCAGGAGACGTCACACCAAAGCTTACCTTGAGGATGTGATCATTAGCAGACATTCAAGAGCAGACTACAAGTGAATTTCCTTCAGACAAATCTAACGAGTCAGGCTTGCATTCCTACTACACCTGACTGCCCAAGGATACTGTCCTTCCCCCAAGTTACTGCAGTGACCGCACTTAATGCAGAAGGATGGACACCCCACACAAGATACTGTATAAGCTCCATACAGACCCTTTCTGGATTCCCCTGACATTTTGTGCACACCAGCCAAGCTTCCAATAGTTAATGACTTTGCCACGCAACCACTCTTGGGTTCCCAGCATCTTAGGACTGAATAGAACGTCCTACCCACTACCTAGAGGTTAGAGTATATGTTTCTTCCCTCTAAAGCTCTGACTGGCCTCTCCACAGAATGTTAGATCACCTAGGCACAGGTCAGAACAAGAGTCTAGTTCAATGGTTCTCAACAGGGGTTTCCCACCCAGCAACATCAGTGCTTTCTGGAAACTTCTCTAAGATTCTCTGCAGCATTGGCATCTCTGAGGCTAGACGAGAAAAAGCCCTGAAGTGACGCAGATGTGTATGATGAGGGGAACTGTGGATCCACTTTGTGGTACAAGTCTACACTTGTTTTCCCGTTTTTTTTCCACCGTCTTTCCTGGCTCTGAGAGAAGCTCTGCGTTCATCTCTGATCTGGAGACTTTTGACCTGGGGCCCTTGAGCACACAGAGAACAGCTTAGGAGGAACCTGGGTAGCCCCAAACAATTGAGAAACTGAGCCTTCCTTTTCTAGCTGACCATACCAGGTGGTAGGGATGGAGGAAGGTCTTCAAATGCTCACCCAGTCCCAGATGCAGACGGACAACAGACAGGAGGACAGGGCTCTCTCATCACTGTCTTCTCGCATTGGAATATATGTTTTTTGGGTCACCTTATGTAAATGGCAAAGGGTACTGTTTTCCCATTCACAGCAAAGAGGAGTTCTCATCTTTAAGTAAACTTGCCGCTATGGTTTGAGTCTGGAGTGTCCCTCAGAGGCTCACATTTTGAACATTTGGTCCCCATCTGGGGGTGCTAGTTTGAAGGCTGTAGTGCCTTTAAGAGGTAGGAGCTGGCTTTTTAGATTAGGTCACTAAGGGGTGGGCTTGGATGGTCATGCCCACCCTGGGTCCAGACCGTTTTCCTACTTCCTGCTGAACACGGCATTCTGTATGCTGTCTCCAACTTGTATGTCTTCCTTGCCATGATGAATGAAACCCAGAAACTGGGAGTCCAAACAAATATTTCCTCCATGAGTTGCCCCTTCCACTGACAAAAGAACACAATATACTTTAGCCAAAATGACAGTAATAAGGTCAGGCATGGTGGCCTACGCTTGTAAACCCAGCACTCAGAAGGCTGGGATCTTGGTAAATTTGAAGTCAGCCTGGGATACATTCTGAGTTCCACTACTTTGTAAGGATTAAATGATATCATGCTTGTAAAGGGTTATACAAAATACCTGCCATGTGGTGACTCAGTATGTGATACCACAGGAACATCACTATCATCACCACTATCACCATCACCAACATTACCACCATCACCACCATCATCAACATCATCATCACCACAATCACCACCACAATCATCACCACCAATATCACCATCACCATCATCACCACCATCACCACCATCATCCATCATCACCAACATCACCATCACCACCACAATCATCACCACCAATATACCATCACCATCATCACCACCATCATCAACATCATCACCACAATCACCACCACAATCATCACCACCAATATTACCATCACCATCATCACCACCATCATCCATCATCACCAACATCACCATCATCACCACCATCACCAACATCATCATCCATCATCACCACCATTACCAGCATCACCACCACCATCATCATCATCACCATCATCACCACCACCATCATCACTACGACTACAATTGTCATCCTTACCACCACCACCATTATCACCGTTGCCATCAACTCTACCATTATCATCACTATCACCATTATGATTACCATCACCATAACATCACCATCATCATGTCTGCCAAAATCCATCATCCCTGCCATCTCCACAACCATCCACCATCCATCATATCCCCACTTCAGCCTCTGGGATAATTATGACCACCCCTCAGATATCGGTATAATCAGACCCAACAGTTGACTTAGAATAATGAAAAGAAGCCCATGAGGGACTATTAATTCCCAGGATGGTTTTTTGTTTTTTGTTTTTTGTTTTTTGTTTTTTGTTTTTTTTTTTTTTTTTTTTTTTTTGGCAAGAAATGAAGTGTTTCTATTCGTGGAAAAGCGAGTTCGGGCTTCAAGTGGGTGATCTCCAAAACGCATGCTCATAATTATATCCTGCCAACATCCTGCCTGCTGGGCAGCCTCCCGGGCCTCCAGGAACTCCACAGCAGCTGCAGAAGCCGCACCCATCCTCTCTCTAGTTTGGCTCAACTGGAGCTCACAGAGCTCAGCTCTGGTGTTACTCCTGTGGCACCTCCATGAGTGGGGGAGTCCCTGGTGCTCTGCATTCCATTCCTGTCTTTTTGTATGGATGCTGTCCCATGCCTGCATCATTTATGTCTTCCCATGTGGGCTCTCTCTCTCCCCTCAAACACAGGATTTCTTCCGCTTGTGTGCTGTATGTCCCTGGTACCCGGTGCACACCATTTCCAGCTGAGCTTGTTAAAACCCGTGGAGTCGTCCGGGTTGGGTCCAACTCTAGAACACAGACCCTCCACCGAGGTCGGAGAGTCTGAGGGTCTCGGCAGAGAAAGGGCCAGTCAGAATAGTAGAAATTGTATTAGCTCAAGAAGACCAGTGGGAGCCCAGTGGCATCCTAGGTCCATCTCAAAGAAAGGCATTTTGACCCACATTCCTGTCTCCCAGGATGGGAAGTTGGGAGAGAAACAGCACATAAGAGCTAAGCTCAGGCCTTTGCTGCTCACTGGTTCTGTGATCCTGGCTGAACCTCAGTTTCTCACTCTGCAAAATGGGGGCACCCATCACTGCTTCCACTCAGGGCCATTAATGAAACTGGGGTGACCAAGCAAAGCATGCAGAATATCACCTCATGCACTGGGATCCATCCCTGTATCAGTCACCCTCCTCCTTGGGGGACAAAATACCTGATGCAGGCCACTTGAGGAGAAGGAGTTCATGTTGGCTCAGTTCTGAGGGCACACTCCATCATCGTGGGGAAGAACTGAGCTAGGAGACTGAGAGGGCCATCATGTGGCACCCAAGGTCAGAAAACAGAGAGATGGATGCTGGGACTCAGCTCGCTTGGCCCTTTGTCTTCAGTCGAGAAGCCCCAGCCCGTGGGATAGCACTATCCACGCTCAGAGTGGGTCTTCACACCACAGTGAAACCTTTCTGGAAACATCCACAGAGAACACATCCAGAGGTCTTTCCAGACTGATTTTGACTCCAGTCGGAGTTGACAACTAAATTAAGCCATCACATCTCCAGAGTGTCAGCTCTTGGTGCTTTGAGGGTACGGTTTGTGAATCTGCCAGTCACCCATACCTTTTAATGTCTTTCAACTACTCTATTCTTCCTGATTCAAACTCTGTTCTTTATGAAAATTTCCGATTATCAAAGTCAGTTGTCCCTAACCTACACGATGACTATTTAAACACGTCTATTTTTCATGCATGCTAATCATGTACATCAATGACTCCTTCTGTGACATTCTGATACATGTATCAAATAAGTAATGATCCCATCAGGGTTTCTGACTCACCCTATATTTTATGTATTATTTTTTAAAGGGTTCTCTATCACTATCCCCGTGTTACAGACAAGGAAACTGAGGCCTCAGGAGTAAATACCTGGCACAGAATCTGTTGTTTAAAAACACAGGTCTCCCCGATTCAAGACCAGATACTTAACTGCCTAGTCTGCGAGGTTGGCCACGCCGTAGACCACAGTCACTCCTCCCTGACTCTCTGCTTCCCCTTGAACTCCCCATACAGAGCAGAGTACGAGAACCTGGGTTCAGCACTGACCCCAGACCAGAGTCCTTCTCACTGCCTCTGTGACCCACCTGCCACTCTGGCCACCTCGTGCATCGTTTCTGGAAGTGGACACGCCAGTGGGCCTTTCTTTGGGTTGCGAGAGTCTCCTCTTTCTGGGGTGGGGGAGGGGGAGAGAACGCACACCTCTAAAGGGTCCGCAGTCTACCCACCCCCTCCCTCATTCTCTCG